GGTGAAGGAACTGTAAAACAGCTATTTGATCAGCAAAGTATTAAAAGATGCCTTCTAACGGAGGCATCTTTTTGCATTTTTTACTACCATTGCAATTATTGGAACGCGAAGATGCGACCTTAATAAACGGGGTTCGAATAAGCCGTCATCACATACTGATTACTCTTGTCAATATCATAGTTTACTTTAATTCTCCTAATGCCCTGCGCCTTAAAAAAGTTGGTAATTTACAGGCTCTTTAAACAATCTCTTTGTATTCAAAACAGCAGGCCTCTCAGATAAGGCAGGAGTTCTGGACCACCTTCGGTCATTATATGGCGCCGCAACCTTCAGCTGAAGGCGAGCGCATCAACTGGATCAATTATAAAACCGGTGAAAAGCAGGTATCTTTTAAAATGAATACCGGGAACAGGGATGCATCTATCGGTATTGAGCTGTCTCACCCGGACACGGGTATCCAGGAATTGTATTTTGAACAGTTTGCCGAGCTGAAAAACATCTTACAGGCCACACTTGGCGAAGAATGGACCTGGGAACTGTTTCATATAGATGAACATGGGAAAACAATCAGCAGGATTTACAAGACATTAAATGGAGCAAGTGTTTTTAACCGCGAAGACTGGCCTGCCCTCATTTCCTTTTTCAAGCCCAGGCTGATTGCACTCGATGCATTCTGGTCTGATGCTAAGTACGCTTTTGAAGCATTAAGGTAGTTTGCTTACCGGCAGGCGGCATGTGTTTTATATGGTTCAGGATGTAAACAATCTTATTTATGACCTTGTACAACCGTTATACCGCTGCATTTGCAACCTGTGTATTCCTGTTTAGCTGTGGGCCTTCCAATGGGCAGAAAGCTGCTAACCAAACGACAAGCACTACTTCAGCTACTGATGATACAACGGCATTGCCTCCACCTTATGCAACCAAATCATCCATAAAATTCAGCAATGTTATTGGCTGGAAAGATGGTAAGATGCCTATTGCACCGCCAGGATATACGGTTACAAAATTTGCCGATGAGTTGGATAATCCGCGCTGGATCTATGTGGCGCCCAATGGAGATATTTTTGTGGCTGAATCCAATACCGAACCAAAAGGCGTTGGTAAAAAAGTAGCC